AAGTTCTTTTAGCCTCCCATTATAAGGTAGGGAGCCCAGAATCTTCTCTGCTATCATCTCTTCATAGCAGTCCTTTAGGGAGATCTTTGTAAGATCATTTAAAAATTACTGATCTACAAAACAAATTCTAGGTCCTTGTTATGGGTCCCCTACCCTTCCTGTCCTACCTCTTATAACTTCCTACCCTCCTCCTTTGGTATTTGCTAGTGTGCAGTGCTCATCATTTTTTTGTCAAATACCTACTCCTATTAACAAACCAGCCATGGGTTCCTTTATTTATTCATTCAACAGTGCTACAAGTGCCAGGCCCTAATCACATTGCTGAAGATATTATATACTGGCAAACAGCACTAATTTAGAAAGTCAAGTCTTTTAGGAATGACATTTTGATAAGCCTATGACAACCACTCTTATTGTCTAGAACCCAACTCCTATCCCAATTCCCACCAACATTACAATTTTTAAATTTCATAACCCAAAGTGGCTATTTTAATATTTTCACTTTTCATCAACGAAATAAAACAAAACTCAAACATACCCCTTCTTCAGACAAACAAGCAAGACGATCTATGAGTTCAGGGTTAGCAGTGAGGCTCTTTACATATTCTTCACCTGAAAAATAAGTTTTATTGTTCTTGATAAATTCAAGTGGTTTGTTTTTTTTTTTAGAAATGGAAGAACATCAATATTTTATTTATTTATTTGTTTTAAAAAGCCTATCTGTTGATGTGGTCATGCCCAAGCACAGACAATGGGTCAAACATATATGTGAGCTTTTATGGCTAAACAAATTCCAAACAGTGACGGGGAAATTAGCCACTAGGCACAACACACTAAGCTTAGAAGTGCAGAGAAATTTAATACTGCAAAAATATCACATGCAGTAATAAAGGACTATGAAAACATTATAGTCAAGTGAATTTCTGACCATGGGCCTGATAATTTTTATATGCATTTACAAACATGCATTAACAGTTTCTACATTTAGACTTACAAGTGAATGCTGGTATTCCTTCTTCTATGGCTTTCTCCTTGTTTTTCCTGTCATTTGTTATGAAGATAACTTGCAGCTGATTCTCTGCTGACATTTTCTTCAAATGTTCATTGTACCATTTTGCTGCTACTCTAATTGCTCTGTCATTCCTGTCATTAGAATTTTCTCCCTGTTTTTGTTCTACATAAGTTTCTCTAAATGTAGAGGAAAGAAAAAAATTTTAAAAGAATAAAAATCAATAAAAACAAGCACATGTAAGAAATCTTGGAACATAAATGCTTAATAACCACTAAACTTAAAAGTCAAGCCCAGCCGGGCATGGCTCAGCAGTTGAGCGTCGACCTGGGATCCAGGCAGTCGGGGTTCGATTCCTGGTCAGGGCACATGCCGGAGCTGCGGGCTCGATCAATGACTCTCTCATCATTGATGTTTCTATCTCTCTCTCTCCCTCTCCTTCCCTCTCTCTGAAATCAATAAAGACATATTTAAAAAAAAAAAAAGTGAAGAGTATATCTTTTTCTCTTGAATGTATTCAGATTTATACCTCAGAGAGGAAATAAATATGATCCTTATAGTTAAGTCTCTAAGACAACAATCAGCTTAGAAAAATAAAATAATGTTATTAATGGAACAATAAAAAGGCTAAAACAACTTTACTTTGTCAAAAAGAAAATCAAGATCAGAATTTATGCTCAGGTTGAAACATCAAATAAGTAATGGTCTGTTGGAAAAAACTTTGTAGGTCTCATAATGAGATTTCATTTGAACTGTAGATTAACAGTAATTCCTAAAAGCTATAAACAGATGGTTTATGATCATATGATTCTATAATTAAATATATAATGCATGTAAATAACCCATGGTAAACACAAAATAAATGCCAGAGGCTATCTAGAGACTAAAAGAGCAGATAGATGTGACTGCATACTCCTTTCTAAGTCTGTCTACTCTGAACTCCCATATACATCAGCATACTTCTTTATTTAAGTCTGTTTTTCAAGCCAAATTTAAGAATAACAAAACTCACTACAATAACTTCTAGTGCTTAAAGATAAAAGAATCAATTAAAAAATTTTAGACTTATTTATAGTAATACTTTTTAGAATTATTTTATCCCTCACCATTAAATGTACCTAAAATGCTTTAAGTGTAACAATCAAAGACACTGTCATAAATTTATGAACTAGTTTTAGCATGACCTGAGCAACAGAATCTTAGAGGAGATTTGCCCAAGTGTCCTAAGACCTAAGATTTTTCCTGTCAACCCCAGTATTGATAAGCTCTATTCACTACACTTAAGCTAACAAAATAATGTCTGATTAGGGATTTGATGATTATGTTCCACAAAAACTTGGGTATTTCTGCACTGAAAAACAAGTGACATTTCTGCTTCTAGATTTCAAGGAGGAGCTAGGAATAAGAAGGATAGAAGTGCTTTACTGATATTCTTTACAAGAACAGCTTTGTTTTTAAGTTTGGGATATAAGAATCAAGAAGAGAAAATTGAGAAATTAAATTTTTAAATTTGCATATTCCAATGGGATTTCATTACCAGATCTACCAGCTAACCCAGGGGTCCTCAATGGGGGTGATTTTGTCCCCTGGGAACATTTGGCAACATCTGGAAACATTTTGGGTTGTTACAACTCTGTGCATGAGGAGGAAGGGTTGCTACTGGCCTTTAGTGGATAGAAGCCACGGATGCTGCTAAACATCCTATAATGCATAAGAGAGCCAACCCATAACAAATGATCCAGTTCAAAATGTCAGCAGTGACAAGGTTGAAAGTCCTGATCCAATCTAATAAAAGCATACTAAGACGCATCATAGATTTATGTAACATAAAAAATTGTGTATTTTCAAAGATCACACATTATTTTCAAACACAGGTCTTGAATTTGAAATATAACAAAGAATTCTACACTATAACCTTATCTTCTTCAATATATTCAGTTATAAGATATTAGTTTAACTTTTAAAAGCTCATTAAGAACAAATCTGCTTTATATTTAAAACCTCCTTCACAAACTTTTACATTTTATTAACTTATATTGGCTATTCAAATAATGTGGTATTCCAGGAACCTAGGCAAATTTTATCTACCATGATACAACTGCTTAACTCATACTAAAATCAATTCAAAATGAAAACATTTTAGAAGTAAAAGTATGTACTATATAGCCTAGGAGTCAGAAGACCTTGGTTTTAGGTTTGATCCAATCAATGCCTATGTGATCTTAATTAGGTCTACTTAGCATTATCTTCTGTACAACTGCATGAGAACCAAATAAAACTCCTGCAAGTATGAAACCTATCAGATATCACAAATTAATGATAGGAGCCCTCCCCCAAATTTAGATAATTCTGTGGTTTTCTAGTAATTATCATTATTTTCCTCCTACCTGTGGTGCTCGTTAGTGAACGTATAGAAATGCTTCTCCTGGTTATTAGTCACATCTCGGATTCGTTTATATACTGGGGCACTCCGATTTCTCACTTCTTGCAGAACTGTTTGTAGTACAATTACATTCCTGATGGCAGGGTCCTCAAGAACATCAATCTTAAAGGAAAAAAAAGAAAAATTAATTTTTCCTATGTTCATTTGTAAATTGTTTCTGTCGAACATAAAACCCTATGGCCTTAAAAACATGAACTATAACCCTGACCAGGTGGCTCAGTTGGTTGGAGCATCCCGGGACACCAAAAGGTGGTATTCCACCGTCAGAGAGAATGTGGGAGGCAACCAAGTTCCTCTCTCACGTGGATGTTTCTCTCACATCCACACATCAATGTTTCTTTCACATGGATGTTTCTCTCTCACATCCACATATCAATGTTCCTCTCTTACATCCACACATCATTGTTTCTCTCTCACATCGCTGTTTCTCCATGTTTCTCTCTCTTTCTCTCAGCTCTCTCTCCCTTCCTCTCTCTAAAAATCTAAAAATCAGTAAAACATATCCCCGGTGAGAATTTAAAAAAAAAACCCCCTAAATATACATTAAGGTAAGGAGATACTTTGCTACCAAAAAAAAAACAAAAAACCCTTCCGGTCTAGTAGAAAAAAGCATATGTAAACAGACTAATTCTAAAACTTCACAGAATTACGTCCATTAATAAAGAAATACATCGGCCCACATCGTTTTCGTTAGTAGGCACTTACAAGCTGCCTGGGGGTCGCAGGCTGGAGGCCACAGAAGCCCAGGTCCCAGGCCTCCAGTTAAAATCTAAGGCAGAAGAGACACCAGGAGTTAGAAAAATAACGTTATCTAAAATCTTTAGGATTCCAAGAACTCAAAAACAGTACATACAAGGAAAAGAACCTGAGCCTGGGGGGACGGGAGGCATGGGTCCCGAATGGGTTTGCCTCTCCCTCAGCGCGTGATGCCCAAGACGAGCCCCCTTGGGCGTCAGTTTCCCTGTCACAACCCTATTCCTGGGGGGGCCGCGTTGCCCCAGGTTCGCCCGCCGACGCACCTGGTGCAGCAGCACATTGGTGTCAGGCAGCAAATAGTGTGGCTGCGGACAGAGGCTGCTCGCTGGGTCCAGGGGCTGCGGCTCCAGGACCGGCCCCTCGTGCGCACCGCCGCACGCCGCGCACCCGGGCGCGCCGCAGCCGATGTCATCCCGCAGGTAGTGCTCGCGCACGATCTTCATCACGCCGCCCGCCCGCGTCTTTTTTAAGAAAGTCTTGGACTTCAGCATCTTGTCTAACGCGAAGAACCCCGACTCCGACAGCCCTCTTCCAGCGACAAACGTCCAGCTAGGCGCCCCGGCGCACAACTATACTTTACCCAGAGGTTCGCCCCTTCCCGCTCCAGGCTATTAGCGAGCACCTCTCGCGGGAAAACGTCCAGACTGACGTTGGTTGGCTCTCCGAGGGCTGCGAGGATTGGGCTTGAGCTCGAAGGATGGGCGGATCCCGGAGCCATTTCCGCCCAAGATGTGGGCGGGCCCCGCCTCTGGACTCCAGCTCCCAACATGCGTTGCTTCCCGCGCCTGGGCCGATCCCGGCTAAGTTCCGGCGGCTTGAGCGTCCGTGCGCTGTCGCTTTCCACCGTCCTCCTCCCGGCGCCGAAATGGTTGTCCTGGTTACGGGTCCTAACGGTCCCCTGCCTGAGATTGGTTTTTGAGGTGATGCAACCTGAGCTGCTGTCTGAAGACACCTTCAGCTCCGAGAAGTGGCGGCTGGTCCAGCCTTGGACGCGGAGTAATTGAAACTGCCGAGGTAGTAGCTCCGGACCGTCCCTCCCCCTCCCCGCGTTGGGCGAGCGATCCTCCGATGCTGCCAACTTTGGGTTTTCTTCACCCCGGCCCTGTAGGCAGTCTCAGTCCCCGATCCTTTGAAATCCAGGTGATGTTGCCTGCCCTTGATTTCACCGATTCTTACCCTTTGCCCTTTAAAAAGGAGGGAAACCGATCCAGCTAAAGTTCCTGCTGTTTTCCCTCCACACACATCGTTCCGTTTAGAAAAACCGATATGAGCAATACCGTAAAGAATTCATTATATCGTGTAGTATTAAAACAGAGGAGTTGCTAAAATTCTTTTGAAAGGGTAAGAAGTTGGATTTAGAATTCTTGAGTTTTTGTCTTCTATTCTCTTGCTTTCGTTCTTCTATCTGCAAGCCTATAAAAAATGTTTTTGTCTCTGCTTCCCCTTTTAAAAATCTTCATTGGTGCCTCATTGCCTGCAGAATAAATTACGAACACATTTGCCATTCAAGCCTCTCCGCAGCCTTGGTTGTTAGGGTTGTATGTGTGCCTGTGTTTGGTGGGATTCACAGAGACTTGGCCCCAGCCTGACAACCACTATCCTCCGCTCGCTTTATACTTTTCCCACCTCTATACCAACCTTAATACCTGCATGCTTTTCCCTTTTTACTACTCCTCCCCAAATCCTCCAAGATTCCAAGTTCTATGGATAACCTTCCCCTGACCAAGTCAGAAGTGATTTCTCTAATATTGAACATGTGCTGCCTTTATTAGTAGCATTAGAGCTTTATCCTTCATCTCATACGTTTCTTTGTTTCCTCCAAATAAACCTACCCCCAGGAACTGGGTTTCTTTCTTACTGATCCAGGTGCCTGAGTTCATAATAGGATTTAGTAAGTTTGATTTAATATGTTTGATCTGAGCAGTAATTTACTAATCTGTTCTAGATTTGGGGTCCTCAGATTGCCTTAGGGAGTCCTTAGTATCTCTTTAATATACGTTTATGCTTTCCACAGAGAATGTTTGAATACATTTAAAATTAATATTTTTTGACCTACAGGAAATTGAAATAGAATTGGAAAAGAAAACTGTCCCATAATAATGTCTCGAAAAATTGCTAAGGCATCAAAAATAGTGAATGTCTCTAGCTCTCTGGAATCTGAAGATATTAGTTTAGAAACAACAGTTCCTACAGATGACATTTCCTCATCAGAAGAGCGAGATGGTAAAATCAAAATCACCCGGCAGCTAATTGAACGGAAAGAACTACTTCATAATATTCAGTTACTGAAAATAGAGCTATCCCAGAAAAATATGATGATCGACAATTTGAAAGTAGATTATCTTACAAAGGTAAGAGCAGGTGTAAATTTTGTTATCTAAATGATTTATTGTCTTCAAGCTATGGACAAATAAAAATTATATATATATATATACACATTCTGAATTTGCAATGATACACTTATTGTTTCAAAAACGTAATTATATTTTCTTGCATAACTTTAAAAAACTGATTCTAGAAGGAGTATGTGAATAATATTTCTGTGTATCAAAAAGTACTGAAAGAAGGGGTGATTTAAAAGTGGGCAGGGATGACTTGCTTCTGTAGGCTCAGTTTTTTAAATCTAGGTATGTTATGTGTTTTTTCTAGTCAAACTTTCTGCCTTGAGAACCCTGATGTTACTAGTTTTGCAGGGAAGTATGAAGATCATAATTATTATTGAATCTATATAGTTCTCTGCCTTGGAGATTTGGTTTCTTTGGTATCTTTCTATTTGATAGTTACTGTATTTGTCTTTCAGTTTCATAGTTACTGTGTCATAGTGCCAAATATAAATTCAGTTACCATAGTCTTTAACAAGTGGTGTTTGCCAAATAAAAAGGGATATCCTAGTCCTTGTCTCTCTGCTTTGTGTGGTTATTTATAATTACAGAGTATTTTATGTGAGACCTGATAAAGTTGTCACTAGCTATAAGAAATTTATAGTGATTTCAAAAAGACAGGAGACACTTCTTGACTCTACTACTCCTGTCCTGAGAAAATTTTTCCAGTAGCAAACCCTCCACCTTTGCCCTTCATCCCATCTCTTCCTATCTTCCCCACCCATTTTATTGTTTCAGTTATATCTTCTCTCTTGCTGAGTCAGTCTACAATTTTAGCCCTTGCCTATATACTTAAGTACTTCAGTATTTTGCCTATACCACTGGGAAAATAAAGTGTCCTAAATCCCAAGTCTTGATGAAGTAAATAAATAGTTTAGGCAATTTTATTTTCATATTAATAACTAACATTTATTGAGTGCCTATCCTGTGCCAGTCACGTTTTATGTGTTATCTCATTTAATCCTCATAACTCTTTGAGATAGATATAGGTGCTTTGGGGTGGGGGAGGGTGTTGTACATAAGCAGTCATCTTAAATGAATCAATAGAATAAGTTAGACTAGTGCCCGGTATTTATTAAGCACACAGTAAATATTAGTAGTTGTTGCTGTTATCAGCAAAAGTAATATCCTCATTTTTTTCGCACATCCCTCTTTATTTTCTGTGCCTTATGTATATGTTTTAGGATTACCTGATTGTTTCTTTGGTATTTGTCTCTCTTAATAGACTGTGATGTTTATGAGGACCAGGGACTTCTTTTTGTTCACTGTTGTATCTCTAGTACTTAGAACAGTTCCTGTTCAATTAAGTGCTCAATTATTTCTTAAGTGAAGGAATGAACCCCATTTTGCTCTTGAGACAGAGCGACAAGTGGTTAATAGCATACTGAGGCCATTCAAATGGAAGTGATGGAGCTAGGTAGGATTCATATCAAGAAGTCTAAGAAAAGCCCATAATCTACCCAAGTGAATCTCCTAATACTTAGATTCTTTATACAGTCACCTATCAAACACTAGGTCACTTGGTATTTTATCAGTGTATCCAGTGGTTTCCTATCTCTAGTCCTTTATTCATAATGCTTTCACTCCTCAAATGAACTTCTGCAATGCTACTGGCACATATATCTTCACCCTCCAGATCTCCTTTAATGCAACTCATTGAAGAAGACTGAGATAAGCCTCCCATTCATTAATCCACTCACTCAGTCAAAAAATATTTTATTAAGTGCCATATTCAGACTTACAGGGTTTCTTGGCCACTTTATTATTTGTTTTCAACTTGCATTGCGCGGGTTGTAAATGGCTTCTTTCCTTTTTAAGTATAATCTTTACCTTATGGAAATGAGAGGCTCTGTAGTGTACTAGATCAGAGCTACAGTTCTAGATACATGCAGTTTGGGTTTGAATTTCAGCCCTACTCATTACCTTGAGAAAATTCCTTAATTTTTTTTATTCCCTGATTTCCTGGGAAGTAAGAATAACAGTAATATTTACTTCATTGAATTGTTGGGAGGATTAAATTAATCAATACACGTAAGCTCTTAGATGCCTGGCGTATAATAAAATAATGGCCACACTTATTCAGCACTATATATATATTTTTTGTACCCACGGTGCTTAATAGTTTTTTTAGTGTGGTTTTCTACTTGGACTGCAAATGTAGAAGACTGAATTAGTCATAGTCCTGAGTTTATAACACAGGGACTTCTTTGTATTGATCGTTGCAAGATCACTTTTATTCCATAGCTCATTTCCATTCCTCCTCTCTGTGCAGCTATTTTAATTTTTACCTTTTTAAACATTTATTTTTGAAATGGGTATCTTATTTTTCCTTTACATAAATATAAATTGCATGTTTTGTTTTAGATTTTATCTCTTTTAAAGTTGTTTTCTACTCAGTGCTGTTTTTAAAACATTCGTATTACTTTGTGTATATCTAGTCATCTATTCCAACTTCCACATAATTCTGTGCGCACCACACATCTATCCATTTCCACAGTGATATCCTCTACCTCCTTGCCACCACATGTAGCATTGTCCTCTGTAACACATTTTTTTGACATGTATACTCAGGAGTAAAATTTCTGGCTCATATGGTATATGTATATTTAATTTAACTAAGTGTACTGCCAAATTGCTCTCTAGAATAGCTGCCCTACTCTATATTCTCATTGTTTTCCTTTGTCATATGACTACTAGGGTTATTCTGCTTAGTCTGATAACCCTTGGAGGTGAGATGTGTGCTATCACATATATGAAGAAATACGAAACGGTAGAAGAATTAGTCTTCCTTAATTCATTTAATCCAAGGCACCTTGATTATCGCTAAGATTAAAAACTGCCAAGTTAAACTGTTATGTGTTATAGATTATAAGGTGCATTCCACTTTCAGAAATGTAAAATGTAAGAAAGTGCGAGTATGGGGTCAATGAAAGAATAATTTTTAGCCATTTATTTATTCTCCAAAGTTTACCAATGCATTGAGATGTGGGGATACAAAGATGAAAATCTCGCATCCTAGCATCACAAAAATTAAATTTCCCTCACTAGACTTTAGCTCCAGGAAAGTAACAGAAAAGGTAGATTTCTGCTGAATATGAACCTGTTCTTGCTCTTCACATTAAATGATATGACTTTAAGTTACTGAACTTCTTGTCACTGAAAGCATTCAAGTAATCCTGAATGGTCAAGCATCATGAGTATTATGGGTATTTTGCTGTGGAAAAAGATTGAACCTGCTGTCTAGTGTTTCAGGGATTAAATTCAGCTGTTAAATCAGAGACTTGGAAAATGATGGCTGCCTTTTAACAGAGATGTGGAAACTGTAGCTTAAGCAGCTACTTATGAAGTAAACAAACAAAAATAATTGAGTTTGATCAGAATAACCAGTGAGAGAGAACCTGCCATATCAAGCTGGCTCATATTTTTTTGCTTTGGAGACTAAGGAAATGCAAGGAATATGAGATTAGGTAAGGTTGATGACTAGTTTCACTTTGGCCGTTTAGAGTAGTCAATTGAAGATGTGTTGTAGTCAGATATACGGATTTAAAGTACAAGTGAAGGGTCTGGCCCCTCCACTCTGAGAAGCAATGGAAAAAATATCCTTGGGTGAGGATTAAAAAAACAAAGAACATTAATGGCAGCTGTTTCGAACCACAGTTTAAAAGCCGTTTGTATAAGAATTCGGTAGTTTGTGGACACAACTATTACCCAAAAAAACTCACCTCTATCCATTTAAAAGCCTGTTTTTTAAAGTGCTTTTTAATAATAAATTTGAAAGTTGACCAGATCATTTATCTTTTCTTCTTTATTAAGATTGAAGAATTGGAAGAGAAACTTAATGATGCCCTTCACCAGAAGCAACTACTAACTTTGAGATTAGACAACCAATTGACTTTTCAGCAGAAGGATGCCAGGTAAGTTTTTAAAAAGCATCAATACCTACTTAGCAGTTAAAAGTAATATCATTAGTGGTTCATGCATGTGATTATAAGCTAAAATAGAGAAATTTTAAACCAAATTTGGTAAAAGATTTTACAACCAGACCAGCAAAAAAGTAGGTTACTAGGTACAGTCCACAAAATAAAAAAGTCAAAATTCAGCATTTATTCAACAAACATTTTCAATGTAAGTGAACCGTAAATGACAGTGGGAGCTCTCTAAACTGACCACCACTTAACCTGACGTCTCGATTAACCTTTTTCATTTCCTCTGCAAAACATGCTGATTGATTTTCATGGCCCTTTGAACTCTTGGCATAAAGTGCCTCTGTTTGCCTGCAAACTTTCTCCAGCTCATTTGTGTGCTTATCAAGACTCCATTGTGTTTATACACAAATATGCCTATGCCAGTTGTACTTATTGACTTATATAAAACTTAATTACGGTTATGTAAACAAAATATGAGTGCAAAAGCCTCATTTGTGCGAAAACCATAATGAATTCTTTAGAAAGAGTCCATGAAAAGGTGTGACTAAAAAAAATCTTTTTAAATAAAATGAAAATGGTAAAAAAAAAAAAAAAAAAAGAACTGACTAAAAAAACCCATCAAATTAAGTGTAAGTAAAACAGATTTAGAGATTGGGGCGGGGGGGGCAGGGCAAAAATTAAATCAATAAAAAGTATCCTCTCAATTTCTTCCCAAATGTCTTTTAAGGTCTCCTGCCACTGTAAAGAAGTTGAACTTGGAAACCATGAACAATGATTTCCACACAAAAATCCAAAACATACATCCATATTAAAAAAAAAAAAAAATCTGGAATCTATGTAAAAAAATTTGAGGGTGGATGTTTATTTCTGTATTTTAATTAGAGGTAAATGTGTAAAGTAGATATTTTTTCCCTTTATAACATTTCACTATTTAACTGATATTTTAAAAAATTATCTGACCAAATTATTAGCCACTATCATAATAGATCAGTGCCTCTTAAACTTTAGCATGTATCAGAACTATCTGGAAGTCTTGTTAGGAAAGATTGTTGTGTCCCACTCTCAGCTTCTGATTTGGGTTGGCATCCAGCAAATTTCCATTTCTGCTAATGGAAATTTAGCAGCAGGTGATGCTGCTTGCTGCTGGTTCAGGGTAACACTTTGAAAACCACTGAATTCAGTAATAGGGCTTCTATTCTAACTTTTTAGACATGTATCAGATTGAATGATGCTGAGAGTGCAGTTAGGAGACTATTGCAATAATCCTCTTGATCACTGATGGGAGTAAAAAGTATATGGATTCTGAATATATTGAAGGTAAAGCTAGTAGGATGTCATAATGGATTTAGATGTGCCGTTTAAGAGAAGAAGAGTCAAGGATTGTGCCAACATCTTTGGCCTGAATAAATAAAAGGATGGAGTTGCTGTCAACTAAGAAAAACCACAGTGAAATAGGTTTGCAAGTGAAGAGCAGGAGTTTATTTTGGATTTGTTAAGTTAGAGTTGTCTGATTAGAAATCCATGTGGAATTGTATGGAAAGTCTGGTCTAGAGATACAAATCTGGGAATCATTAGGATACAGACAGTATTTAAGTCATGAGACTGGATTAATTCCCCAAGGGTAGGACCCGGTACTCCAGCATTAACACAAACCACACAAGACAGAGAGCACCATCAGTAAAATAGAAGAAAAATAAAGAGATTATGGTGTCTTTGAAGATAGGCAAAGAAGGTGTACAAGGAAAGAGAGATCAATTGTGTCAAGTGTTATCATTAAGTTAGGGATGAAAAGAACTAAAAATTGATCATTAGCAAACTAGATGTCATTGGTAACCTTGAAATTTCAGTGGAGGGGGGCTGTAAACCTGACTGGCTTGCGTTTAACAGGAAAAGCATTAGAGAGAGCCTCTTGCTAAGTGGCCGCAAGCCTGACAATTAGTGGCCACCAGTCTCAGTTCCTAGGCACCTCCAAGTCCAGTACAAGTAGCATCTCTAGATCACTTTGTAGCTCATACCAGGTGGCCCCGGGCAGAGCAAAGGCAGCGGCTGAAACTGACTTGCACCAGAGCTCTCCCACAAGGCCCCAGGACCAACACACCGGTGGCCAGCTTCAAACCATACCAAAGCACCATCAGACCACCTCCACAAATGACGCACCCAAAGGGCAGACTTGGCAGGCACCAGAGCCCTGCCAAAGCAAATCCTGCTCCATGGGGCCATCCCCCTGCACAACAGCTCCTCTGCTATAGTCACAGCCAGTCTTATAGCCAGTAAGCCTGAGGGTCAATCCCTCCCATTGATGTGCCAGCAGCAATCAAGGCTCAGCTATAACAGGTGGGCACATACAGTCCATACAAGGGACACACCAGGAGCGCCTAGCTCTCACAGGACACCTTACTACATAAGGCCACTCTACCTAATACATAGGGAAAAAAAGGAGGCAGCCATAATGAAGACACAAACATGTTACCAAATTAAAGAACAGGACAAAACTCCAGAAAAAGAACTAATTAAAACGAAGATAAGCAATCTACTAAATACAGAGTTCAAAACACTGGTTATAAGAGTGCTCAGTGAACTGAGAGCTTTAACAAAGATACAAGAAACATTGAAAAGGAGATAGAAAACAAAAAATAAACAGTCAGAAATGAAGAATACAGTAACTGAAATGACATGCATTATAGGGAATCAACAGTAGATTAGCTGAAGTAAAGGATCAAATCAGCAATTTGGAAGATAAGGTATCATAAAATACCCAATCAAAACAGCAAAAAGAAAAAAGTCCAAAAAATGAGGATAGTTTAAGGGGCCTCTGTGACAAAGTTAAGCATACCAGCATTCACATCATTGGGGTACCAGAAAGAGAAGAGAGAAAGCAAAGAATTGCAAACCTATTTGAAGAAATAATGATGGAAAACTTCCTTAACCTGGTGAAGTAAATAGACATACAAGTCCAGGAAACAGAGAAAGTCCCAAATACGGTGAACCCAAAGAGGCCTACACCAAGACACATCATAATTAAAATGCCAAAGGTTAAAAGACAAAGAATCTTAAAAGCAGCAAGAGAAAAAGTTACCTAAAAGGGAGCTCTCATAAGACTCAGTCCATTTCTCAACAGAAACTTTGCAGGGCAGGAGGGATTGGAAAGAAATATTCAAAGTGATAAAAAGAATGACCTACAACCAAGATCACCCAGCAAGGCTATCATTTAGAATCGAAAGACAGATAAAGAGCTCCCAGACAAGAAAAAGCTAATGAAGTTCATCACCACTAAACCAGTATTACAAGAACTGTTAAAGGGGACTTCTTTAAGAAGAAAAAAATATGCATAATAAAATGGCAATAAGTACATATCTATTAACAATTACTTTAAATGCAAATGGATTAAATGCTCCAATCAAAAGACATAGGGTGGCTGAATGAATAAGAAAACAATACCCTTACATATGCTGTGCACAAGAGACCCACTTCAGATCAGAAGACACACACAGACTGTAAGTAAAGGGATGGAAAAAGATATTTCATGAAAATGGAAACAAAAGAGCTGGGGTAGCAATACTTATATCAGACAAAATTAAAACAAAGGCTAAAGACACACCTGATAAAGGGTTAATACCCAAAATATGTAAGGAACTCATACAACTTAACAAAAGGAAGACAAACAATCCAATTAAAAAATGGGCAGAGCACCTAAATAGACACTTCTCCAAACAGGACATACAGATGGACAAGAGACATGAAAAAATGTTCAAAGTCACTTATCAGAGAGATACAAACTAAAATTACAGTGAGGTATCACCTCACACCTGCCAGAATGGCTACCATCAACAAATGAAAAAACAAGTGCTGGGGAGGGTGTGGAGAAAAGGGCACCCTAATACACTGCTGGTGGGATGCAGACTGGTGCATCCACTACGGAAAACAGTATGGAATTTACTCAAAAAATTAAAAATTGTCCTGCCGTTTGACCCAGTGATCCCACTTCTAGGAATATATATCGTAAGAAACTTGAAACACCAAGCAGAAAGAATCTTTGCACCCCTGTGTTCACAGCAGCACAATTTAAAATAGCTAAGATCTGCCTGGCCGGCATGGCTCAGCGGTTGAGTGTCGACCTAGGATCCAGGCGATCGGGGTTCGATTCCCGGTCAGGGCACATGCCTGGGTTGCGGGCTCGATCGCCAGTCAGGGATTGCAGGAGGCAACCGATCAATGACTCTCTCATCATTGATGTTTCTCTCTCTCTCTTCCCCTCTCCTTTCCTCTCTCTGAAATCAATAAAGATAAATATTTTTTTAAAAAGTTTAAAATAGCTAAGATCTGGAAACAGCCCAGGTGCCCATCAGTAGGTGAGTAAATAAAAAAGCTGTGGGACATTTACACCATGGAATACTATGCAGCTATAAAAAAGAAGGATCTCTTACCCTTTGAGACAGCATGGATGGAACCGGACAGTATTATGCTAAGCAAAATAAGCCAGTCAGAGAAAGACAAGTTACAAGATCTCATTCATATGTGGATATAATAAGCAAAATAAACTGATGAACAAAATAGATCCAGAGACATAGAAGCATGGAGAATATAGTCAGTAATATTGTAATAAGCATGTGTGGTGTCAGGTGGCTACTAGATTTATAAGGGTGCTTACTTCATAAGTTATACAAGTGTCTAATCACTATATTGTACACCTGAAACTAATATAATGCTGTATGTCAACCATAATTGAAAAAATTTTTTAAGTGTTTTTAAAGAAAAAATACAGTATGGAAAATAATAACCAGAAGCCAGATGTTATGTGCAAGTTATAACTTTGTATTTAAAATTGAAAGAGTTGCCCAGCCGGGTATGGCTCAGCGGTTGAGCGTCGACCTGGGATCCAGGCGATCGGGGTTCGATTCCCGGTCAGGGCACATGTCCGGGTTGTGGGCTTCATCAGTGACTCTCTCATCATTGATGTTTCTGTCTCTCTCTCTCCCTCTCCTTTCCTCTCTCTGAAATCAATAAAGGTATATTTAAAGAAATAAATAAATACAAATAAAATGGAAAGAGTTACAAAATGTACTTTTAAATTTTTCCAAAATATGAACTTAATAAAATAATCTGATTTTGGTATGTCAAAGAAGGATCTCTTACCCTGTCAAAGAAAGAAAAGCATTGGAGGCAGTGAGCTTCCAGCTTTTGAGAAGTTTTGTTCCATGGAGGAACAAACAAAGAGGGTATTGAAATGGTGTCAGAAGTTGTGGGTTTTGTTTGTTCATTTGTTTTAAGGTAGAAATAACAGCATGTTTGATACTGACGTGAGTGCTATAGTAGGGATGGTCCCTTCCTGCTTAAAATCTTTGGTTAGTCAACTAACAATAGCAGTGTCTACTGTAGGTATTCTTTAAAAAGGGTGATTATGTGCAGATTTCTGTTTTCATCACCTCATTGTTTAAATTGGTTGGGGAATTTCTGGCCCACAGGCCATATTCAGCCCATGAAATCATTTGGTCTGATCCTGCCAGGGCAACCGCAAGTGGGACTCAAAATTCAATAAATCTAGGAGCTTTTTTCATAGCTAATTTTTAAGTTGATAATTTTATATGGCCCGTGAATGATATTATAAATATCTGAATGGCCCTTGGCAGAAAAAAGGTTCCCCACCCCTGATTTAAATTAATACCTTACAGTGGTTCCATGTTGCCATCTTAAGGAGGTATACCTTTTAGTACCTGGACAAAGAGAAATGAAAATTACTTTAATGAGTAGGATTCAAAACAGATGTATAAGACTTAAACCTTAAGCAGAAGAAATGTATAATTTTATAATTTGAATTTTTGATATTATTTTTAAATTTTTAAAAATATTTATTTTATTTTTTTAGAGAGAGAGAGAGAAGAAAGGAGAGGGAGAGAAACGTCGATGTGAGAGTAAAACATTGATTGGCTGCCTCCTGCACACCCCCTACCAGGGACCGAACCTGCAACCTGGGCATGTGCCCTGATGGGTATTGAACTAGCAACCTTTTGGTGCACGGGATGATGTCCAACCAACTGAGCAACACTGGCCAGGGCTAAATTTTTTTTTTTTTTTTTTAATCTTCACCATAGGATATGTTTTTCATTGATTCTAGAGATAGAGGAGAGAGAGAGAGAAACAGCAATCAGTTGCCTCCCGTAAACGCCCTCACCAGGGATTGAACCTGCAGCCTGGATATGTGCCCTGACTAGGAATCGAACCCACGACCCTTTGGTATACAGGATGATGCTCTAACCAACTGAGCCACACTGGCCAGGGCTGAAGTTATTCTTCAAGAATAATAATACTCTATTTAATCATTTATGTGGTTGCACATTTATTTGTTTTTTCCTTATTGCATTTATTGGGGTGACACTGGTTAACTAAATTATACAGGTTTCAGGCACACGATTCTACACCATATCATCTGTACCCTGTATTGTGTGTTCACCACCCCAAGTCAAGTCTCCGTCCATCACCGTTTCTCCCCCACTTTCTTCCACCTCCCTCCACTCCACCTCTCCCCAGGGCTGCACATTTAGTAATTAGTATAGAATTATCATTTCATGTTTAACTGATTAAGTAAGTAAGAATTTAACTAGAGCCAAATATACTATTTGAGTTACTTATTTTCTCATTTTATGTTCCTATAAAAAGGTGACTTTGAGAAAATTAAATCTTGAGAAGTTTTTTAAGCTTGCCATGAATTCTCTTCTAACAGAAAATATCAAGAACTAATGAAACAAGAAATGGAAACTATTTTATTGAGACAGAAACAGCTAGAAGAGACAAATCTTCAGCTAAGAGAGAAAGCTGGAGATATCCGTCGAAACCTGCGTGACTTTGAGTTGACAGAAGAGCAATATATTAAACTAAAAGGTTTCCCTGAAGATCAGCTCTCTATTCCTGAATATGTATCTGTAAGTACCTTATATCATTTTTTTTAAAACTGCATATATTTTCAGACTAAAATTTGCCATTTATGTTGTAGCCATAACTTCTTAAGTACCCAATTATTTTATGGCCCTGATCTGAAGATGGTGAATGGTGTTCAGATCACTAAATTTTAAAGGGTCTTGACCACTGATCTCCAAAGGCAAGCAATAAATAGAGCTCTGAAGTTAATGGCTGCATAGTGTATAGAAATGAATTATTTTATCATAAACTGGTGGTTTGTAATATTCTCAACATGAAAAATTATAGACATAAGCGCTGATAAATGATTGCAGGGGGTTAGGGATAGTAGAGGAGAGGGGAGTTGGTGTGTTTACAAAGGGGTCAAATGAGGGAGGTCTTTGTGAATCTAGTTCAGGATCTTGACTGTAGTGTTGGTTACATAAATCTACATACAGGATTGATCTATGGCAGTAGTCTCAAATGTTTTGGTGTCAGCATCCCTTTACATTCTAAAAACCAGAGGACCCCAAAGACTTTTGTTTATATGGGGTATATCGATTAATATTTACCATATTAGAAATTAAAACACATTTTTTAAAGCAAGACTACATAAGCACATGTTCCGTTAGCCTTAAGGATGTTGATATCTTCACACATCATGTAGCCACTGGCAGATGCCATTAAACAGGCGTAAGAGAATGAGAGCAAAACAGGCATAAAATTTTAGTATTACTAGGAAAATAGTGACAGGCCTCAGAGTGCTGGGGTAGGGGCAGTGGTCCCCATACTACCCATTGAGAACTGCTGGTTTATGATATGTAGAGGTTGTTTTACCTTAAGAGGCTTGAATTTTTTCATCTATAGAAGGATTAATTATGATAGTAACACCTTTCTATTGAGGTAATTGTGAAGATTAACTGTGACTATGTATGTAAAATGTTTATCTTAGTCCTTAGAACATTGTAAACAATAAAATATTACCTATTATTTTGCTCGAGTTGTGATTGCTACTCTTGGTTCTCATTTGGATAAGACTTCCAGATTAATGATTTCCTACAAAATGTATTACTTTTTTGTCCAGTTTTTTATTTAAACAGCTTAAATATAATGTTTCTGCCTAACATGTACTGTCCAAAACAGATATCCTAAGTGCTGTCCAGGAGGCTTTATTCATAATAGATATCAAGTATTCCATTAGTCAGTTATACATATTTTTGCTCTCTGCTTTGTAAGTGTTCCTTGTCATATCTTTTGTTTTCACAGGCAGTACTGTACTATCCTAGTTAGTTAGCTAGTTATCTTTGGTGTTGAGGACTAATCTTAGGACTTAACTCTTAACAAATATGGGACTTTTGTATATTAAGGTGTTTCCGATAGTCCCTAATTGCCCTTTCCTAATTTACTCATGTCTTCTTTGTTTTATAGGAACTTGTCAGATGGAACACTTCACTAGGTTAGGGCAGGCAAATTCCCCTAAGAGAATTATGAGCGGGAAGAGAGGTCTGAACTGAATGGAAGTAGTGATATGAAAGGTACCTCCCAATTCATCCTGATTATCTCTTACACTGCTATGGTAGCAGTAAGTAGGGCTTCAGCAAGAGCCTAGGATGTGGGCTTATTGTATATTTAGGCATTAGAGATAGAGCAGTGTGTAAAGACAAAATATTACTGCCCTCATGGAGCTTATATGTTAGTGGAACAATACAGACAAGAAATTAAAAGTAAAATATGTAGAATGTTTGTCATATGTGCTATAGAGAAAAGAGCAAGAGTGAAGATTAGGGACTGCCACCAGGTGGGCAGACTATTTTAAATCAGGCTGGTTGAATCAGGGAGAGCTTTACTGATGGGGTGACCGGGTGACCTTTGATCAGAGACCTAAAGGAAGTGAAAGCATGAGCCATGCATGCATTTATATATGGAGAAAACTTGTCTATTAGGAAACAGCAAGAGCAAAAGTCTTGAATACTTGATGTGTTCAGGAAATAGCAAGCATATAGTGTAGAGTAGGAGTAACAGAAGAGGAGTAAGTAGTAAATGGAGTATTAATAGAGAGAAAAGAGAGACTGTCGGGGTAGAAGTTACAGATAATCTGGGCCTTGAGGGAACGAAAGTGAACATTAAGAGTTAAAGTATTAGTGGTCAGGTCAATCAACGACTGCCTTGCTTTAGTTTTGTATAAATAAAACTTTTTTGTACAAGCACTTAATCCGAAACTCCTTAACACTTTTCTCTTATGACCTTAATATTTTATTTTTATTACCAATGATTGAGAGTACTGTAAATTAGCAAATTTTAATTGTAATTTGGGTTTAAAGCCTGCTTATTAATTTAATTTTTTTAAAGATTCGGTTCTATGAACTAATGGATCCATTAAAGAAGGAAATCTGTGAACTACAAGTGAAAAAGAATTACCTATCAGAAGAATTAACTGAAAACAAAGGCCAACTGAAACAACTGACAGAGGTTTGTATAATTTTGATCACTGGTGACAAGAGGCACCAAGTTTTTCTATAAGGAATTGCTCAAGATCTGTGATAGGAATATCAAAGTCAGTGATAGAAAAATAGGACTAGGGGATGCTGACTGTTGTGATTCTTCTTAAATGGTGGGAAGGAGGTTAAAGTAGAAATAGTCATCTTAAAGATTGACACGATAAGTCTATGATATTGACCTGTAATCATGGTTGAACATTTTATTGTAAACTCATTTTATTCTCAGTTCTTCATTACAGATTAGCCTTGTTTGTGATAGATGAAAGGAGCTACTATCCATTTATCATCACTTTCCCTCTACATCAAATACTGTTAGCTCTCCAAATACTTGCTCAGAGCATGTGCACTGATACTAGCATTGGCCCCAGTGATATGCATGGTGTTGTGCTCAGTGCTGGCAGCAGTGAACACAAAAGAGACAGGGTCTGCCCTTCTAGAGTTCAAATTCTAGTAGATTAGAGTTAGAACCTTGGATGATATCTTGGCACTCTCATTTTCTGTGTGACCTTGAGCAAGTTATTTAATGTTTCCTACTCTGTCAAATGGAAAAAATAATACTGTTTGTTCAGTCATTTCATTGAATTGCCAGGGTTTCTGTTTCAAAGGAGAAACATGATTTTTAGCAAAGTGGCATATAAATATTTATTTTGTATTTTACTTCAAAGACAGCTTTTACCTTCTATTATTCAGAAGTAAACAGTTATAATTTAATTTATATTTTTATGCTCTAAATTGCTGCACTATTAGTGCTGGACAGAATCACCTTATGTCATAAATATATAACCAATATTACAGGCAAAATAAAGACTCAGCTTCCTCCTCTCCTGGGAGTGATGAAATCCTCAGGAGCAATGCCAGAGAGGCAGATGGCCTGTGTGAACACTAATACAAGGTTCTTTATATTGTTGGGTATTTTCCATCTGCTAATCTGCCACAGTGTGCAGTAAACTATTTTGTGCATTTAGAAGATAGCTTTTCATTTTTAAAAAATTTGCATGTATAGTCAAAATAATAAAGTACAAAATTAGAAGGCCTCAGTTTGGCCTACTAACTAATTTTACAGCCTTAGTCAAATCATTAATCTCTATTGTTTCTGTAAAATTCCTGGGATGGTGGTGGTGTTTGCAGAACAGGATTTATTGGAGACAAGACAGTAAGACAACTTTTCACACTTGGTTCTGCAACACTTTGTGGTACCTCAGAATCACTCAAGGACTTATTTTTAGGAAGGCTGGAGGAGTTTTCTATCCTTATTTATATGAAATCACCTCTTTTTTAATCACTTTAACATTTTGGGATTTTAAGAGTGGTTTCTCTTGAACGAAGGATCCTTGGGCCAAAAAAAAAGATAAGGCTACAACTCTAGAATTATCATTATCATGTGATATATTTTTTTACTCTGTGATAAAGCAAGTCTCTCTGCTCTCAAGAGTCATTAATAGCATTTTATCCAGATTTTAATTTGTTTCAATTTTGCTAACACTTTTAGTATTTTATTGATAGGAAAGAAAACAAAATTAACACATTATGTTTCTGAGTGTTTTTAATACAGAGAAACAACCAACAGGATATATATACTGTCAAACCTTGGTTGTCCATCTTCCATCTAGAACAATTTGTTACTTGATCAAGTTGTTCATTAAAATGTCTAAGGTGTGGAACAAAAACTTCAGTTCTCCAGACCTGACATCCCTTTCCTGCTGATATATCAGCATGACAAAAAGTGTCTCTCAGGCCACAAAGGAAGGAGAGAATGCACCAATATGAGTCAGTTTACAGCTAAACCTTACCACCTTATTAACATCTCAGGAAGTTGTACTGTGAATATTTTGGGGTATTTTTGCTTTTGTTGCTGGAGAAATGGACAATTAGCACAAGTTTAAAACATAAAGAATCCATCAAGAGTGCTAATGTTGCTAAGAATGTGAAAGAAACTGATCATGGGCAATTGAAGAGGTAGAAAAACTGTTGCTGATTTGAATAAACAAAGAGCAGTCAGCCAGTGACAGCATTTTGGAGGCAGTGATATATGAACAAGGAAAGATACAGAATGCTGACCTCCTGAAAGACACCCCTGGAACAAGTGCTGAGAGTGATACATTTAAGACTAGTAGAGGGGTTTTCAAGAAATTTAAGAAAAGAGGTCTTTGTATATAGATTAAACAGTACATTAGACATGTACTGTATATAAAAAAGGTTAAAACAGAATCATTTGGGGGGTGTGGAACAAATTAATTCAATTTACGTATTTCTAAGGGGGGGGAAATGACTTGGTTTTCGAACAAATCGCTTCTTGAACAGCCTTCCAGAATGAATTAAGTTGGATAACTGAGGTTCCGCTATATAGATATCTACATGTAGATATCTAAGATTTTAAGGAATTGGTTCACATGATTATGGAGGCTTGGCAAGTCCAGAATCTAATGGGATAGGCCTTTAGGCTAGCCATTCAGGGATGATCTGCTTTACTCGGAGTCTACTGATTTAAATGTTAATCTCATCTAAAAAATACCTCCGAGAAACATCTAAAATAATGTTTGACCAAATATTTGGGTACTGTGGCCTAACCAGGTAACACATGAAATTAACCATCACAGACTCTTTTTTTATGCAGGTTTGTTACTTAAAGTTTTATCACCTGTCAGCTAAAAATATAATCCTGTGTCTTAAACCTTTTCCTAAATTTAATAATAATATAAACAATTTGAAACACAGAGAAAAATAATTAAGCACTCTCTTATGTACTTAATAAAAGGTCTTAGAAATTCGGAGAATATGATTTAGACACAATAGAATTACTTTTATATTAAAGCCACCCTTAAAGTTTGGTTCCTGTGCTTGTCTAAGGCCAGTACAGGTCAACTTGCCCAACACTGAGAAAAAATAAACTAATTACTTTAAAATTAAAGTCATACCAGTTAAGACTTTTTTATAAGGATATAGTGAACGATAAATATTAATACTTAACGTTAAAAGAATTTTTGCTTAATTATATGTTGTGGGGGTTGATTTTTTAAATGGTTTGTTAAGTTTACTGCTGATATTTGGAGAATTCAAAGATATCAGTTCAAGTTTCATTGCTACAACTTGACAATGGCATGATGATCTTAGATTTTAAAAAACAGCTTAGCCTTCTCTACTTTCCCCTTCCCCAAATCTTAAAACTTCTCCACTGAAAGATTGAGATTATAATGTATAACGCCTTCCTCACATGGTCATTATTATAAGAATGAGAATCATTCATTCAATGGTTATTGTAATCTATGTGGCAAACATTGTTCTAGGTGCTTGGGATGCCTTAATGAACAAAACAATGATCTCTGGCTTCATGGAGTTTATATTTTAAAAGGAGTGCAGGGAAACTGTAAACACTATAAATAAGCAAATCACATAATACGATAAAAGGTGATAACTGCAAAGGAATAAAGAAAAAAGAGATCAGAATAAGTAGTGCTGTGTGGTGCAGGAAAGAAAGCATATTCAGAATTGTATGTGGTACCTTGTAGGCCTTGTTGAGGAGGTTAGAAGTTTGTAAAGATTTGGAGGTGAGGGAAACAACAAAGTTCTCAAGTTCAAAACTTCCAGGACAAGGGAACGGCCAATGCAAAGGCAAGAGGGTGCCTTGTTATTTGTGGAGCATTGAAGAAGCCAATGTGACTGGAATGGCTGAAAGGGAGAATAGTTGGAGACAGATAAGATCAAAGAGGTAATGGGTCTGTTGGGGTCATTGTAAGGACTTTGACCCTAAGTGAAAGGAAGCATTACAAGATTTTGGAAAGATGTAACATTATCTGACATAATGTAAAAGGATCATTTTGGCTGGTACATAGTAGAGTTGCAAAGTATATTAACCCTTTGTGGTCGTATGTCTGCTCTCAGCCACCACAGCAAGGAACTGCACGAATCTTAACTCTATTCATTCATGTATCAGTTCATAATTTCTCTTGTTTATCCTTCATAATCTTGCATGTTATGTATCACTGCTCTTTCAATGGAAATTAATTCCGACCAGTACGACACCCATGTCCAAATTTAATACGACCGCAAAGGGTTAAAAAACTTAACGTCCCAGATAATGGTGTTTGAGTAGTAAACTATAGAGCTATAAGGGCTAAAGCAGAGACACTTGTTAAGAGGCTGTTGTAGTCATCTACATGAGAAGTGATACTGCTTCAGATCAGGGTGTTAGAGTGGACGTGGTATGAACTGGTTAGATCCTGGATATATTTTAAAGTAGAGCCAATAGGATTTCCTGATGAATTGAATGGAGGGTGTGAAAGAAAGATAGGAATCAAATTAACTCCAAGGTTTTTGGACTGAGTAACTGGAATTACGGATTTTCATTCTGCAGAGATGGGTAGGCTATGGATGAGACAGGTTTAGGGTCAAAAGAGAGTTCAGGTTTTAGACATGTTGAATTGTACTCAAACTGTATACTCTATCTCTTGGACAGCAGCTCAATTTTCAGTTAAGTTTTGCTTGGCTTATTAGGACTGCTGGGGTTGTCCTATACTTATGTTTGTTCAGAGATCAGGCAGAGATTTGGCAGAGATTGCCCATAGAATTCAGTTCTCTTTCTTTGGCTATCTCTAATTCTTTCCTCATTTAGAGCAGCTGGGTGTCCTGATTCTTCAAACTAGAAAGAGGAAGGATTTTCTTTTGTATCTTTATCCTTCCAATTTGGCAGAGTAGGCCTGCCCTCAGGCTAAAAGCCATTAAAAAAAAAAAAGACTGGAAAACTCACCCAGTGCTGTTTCCTTTTTCCTCACGCAGATGGGCTGCAACCCAGAATTTGCCTGATTTTGGTCACTTTCCTGTGCCTTCAGGTAGTTTTCTATTTTGTCCAAAATTTAGAGTTGTATCTATAGTAAGATCAGTCAGATGAGAACTTATATGGCCATTATTAGAAGTAGAACCACCTTATAGTTTTAAGCACAAGTAAAGAAAGAAAATCTAGTCTATGCATGCAGC